CAAAAGTCCAGCCATGAATCTGTACTTAAAGCTCATGTTCTCCTTCCTTGCTCTTCTTTGTAGCTGCTTGAGATTCTGCTATTTCATTAAGCTTCTTAAGCATATTCCTGTCCTTAGTCAAGTGCTGGCTCTACAGGAGTAAACTAGGCACACAGGCCTTTGGCTCCAGTCTCTATAATGAGGAGAAATTCCTAAGTGGGTACAAGTAATACAGGTTCTCCTAATGCTGTGCAAGAACTTCTGCTGGCTGTTTTGCTGGAGTGGAGCAGTGCTAAACAGATTTTACTTTTTCTTTCAGGTAGCTGGTGGCAAATGTTAGGAAATAATAGTGAATACTTCCATAGCCTGTATTTAGCTAGTGCACAACTAATTAAACAACCTAAGCAAGTAAAGCAAATTGCTTGTGACCTTTGTGTACAGGTGGATGAGGAACCTGAAGAGCCTGAAGATGCACCTGAGGAGGCAGAGCAGGATGAAGAGGAACTGGATGCTGATGCTGAGGGCAGTGATACACAGAAGGTAGGGTCTCAGGTTTGATGCTTTCTTGCCAATATTTATGTGCACCTTAATCTGTGGATGCTACCTGGCAATAAAGTTCACTTTGCCTTTCATGACACTAGATGTTAGTGTCAGGTGTTCCAGGCATTTCTTGGAGGGGGAAGAAAACTGCAGAACAAATTTATTATTAAACTAGTATTTTGAAAAGATGACACTGAGGTATGTTCAAAGCTGGAGCTGAGTTAAGCTTTAGAGATGGTAACGGTGCCCTGTGGCAAGAAAAGGGTAGCAAATCCTCTAGTAAAGATAATTATCCATGGTACTTCCACAGCTTGTGGGCAAAAACATGAACAGTTGTTTGTAATTGTGTAATTTTAAATGCTTATGATACAGGCTTGGAACAACATTCCAGACAATACCATTGCTTCTGAACAGTTCACCTGTCATGTGAAGTCAGCCTTCACTTAGCTCATGGCTGCAGTTTTAATTATGTCTTGATGATATGCTGAACTCCTCTAATACCATAGCTTCTTAATAGTACTAACTTGTAAAGTTGCTATGAGGTCCCAACTGGGCCTGCTTTCTTGGGTTGCTTTTGGAAGAGACCTGCAAGATGATACCCTGTGACTAGTGCAAATATATAGATTACAGCAATGTAATTTCCTACTGTTAAATGTCAGATTAGGTAAGAATAAATTTGAGAAACAGTATTTATTGTACTATACCTACTTAATTTTGATGCCACTGCTGTTATGTTTGCATAGCAGGATAATCTAATGTGCAGTGACAGTAATAAAAAATTCTGTTCTTCTGGGGCAGTTCTTGTAACCTTTTTCCACTTTCCAAAAGTAATATTCTAATTCTCTTTTTTGTCTTCACAGGAATCCACAGATGTGAAAGATGAACTGTAAACTACACTCAACTACTGTCCTGCATTGGGGGGTTAGGAGGGAATGTGAATTAGATTGTTTTGGTTTTTTCCACTGTAAAATGTTGATGGGTGGTATGGGGTTTTAAGGGTAAAGGAGATCTTTTTTTTTAAGTTCACTTTTCTAAAAACATTCCTCATGAATGTAAATTTGTATTATTTAACTGACATGGTGTCAAATCTTGTCATGTACAAAATAAAATGTTCCCAAACACCACCAACTCTAAATTTATACATAGCAAGCTGATTTTGTGGGCTGGCAGAAAGAAATGAAGGTATGGTCCTGGGTGTTCAGGTCGTCTGTGCAAACAGGCTGTTTGTTGGCAATACTTGGGCCTTCCTATGCTGGCACAGCCACACCTATTTGTCGCATCTGCCTGTGGCTGGGATTTATATTTCCAAACCTGCTGTGCTGCTTAAATACAAATACACCTGGGAGCTGAGAGCTGTACTGAACTTGCTAATTGAAATAAGACTTCGAGTTAGGTATCTTCTGCAAGCCTGAGAAAGAGGAGATTGGATGTTTAAAAATAGCATTGGAAATGAAGCTGACAGCTTGTGCTGGATTCTGACTTGACTCCATAGGATAGGCAGCAGGAGCTTTACAGATGAGGGGAGGAAAAAACATTTCCTTTCATTTACTATGTGGACAACTACCACCAGAACTGTCTTACTACCTACGAGCTGGTACCATCCTGCATGGCACTTAGAAACCCTGCCTTTGACTTGTGTAGCTACAGCAGTTCTGTTTTCTACAAGCTTTTTTAAAGGTGGAAGTTCTTTTCACATACTCTTAATGCTGTTACTCCTAAATGTTTTCACTCTTGTTCTTGGTCTCTTATGGCAAAGCACTGTAGTTACTTAATGTTACTGAAGCTAAATCTGGTTAGTTTTTGACATGTTGAGCTTCCAATCATTATGTTAGCTTTACATAGTGGTTGGATGAAGCACTACATTTTTTCACTAGTGCCTCTACTTGAAAGCATCTTCACAGACTTGGTAGAAAGTGTTTACAGTGAGGATTTTGGGGGATTTTGCAGTGAGGATTTGGGTTTTGGTTTTTTTTTCCTTCTTCTGTGGAAGAAGGATGTAGGTGTGGTGCTTCTGCACAGTGATTCTACTTAAGAACCGATCTTTGCTGTTTTGTTAACAGAAGTTCTTAGAAGTTACAAGTTTCTGCAGCCTGAGGCAAGAAAAGCTTTCTTACTAGGTGAGGGCACTAAATACTGACCTGAAGCACTTGCTTTCCATTTACTAAGCTTCTGTATTGCCCAAAATATGCCATGTATGAGTGTGATTGTTGTGTCAGGATTTTAGAGTTGAAGTCTGAGATGTCAGGGAAAGGGAGCTTAGTTGGGGGGGGGTGGGTTCTGAAGGGAGTCTGGAGGGGTGGGAGGCTCTGGTTTCTGCTCACTGCAGTGGTATCCTAGAGAAAAGCCTTTTTGTTACTGGCCCGGCCTGAGTGGCCTAACACGAGTTTCAGCAGCTGGCACTGTCAGTTTTAGAAGCAGCCTTTAGCACTGTTACTAAATGGCAGAAAGGGCCTATCCCCTTACTTTAGGAGTGAAACTTTGTGCTCTGTAGCAATCAACCTCCTAAAGTATCACTTATTTTCAGTGATACACTCAGAAATGTAACATTACTACCTACATCTCTCCATTTGACTTCTGAGTTAATAAAGGTTGCTCCCACCTCCTGTATGATTCGGAAGTTTAGTTTGCCTAACAAACTAAAGGGGAAGGGTGGCCTCCTCCAGTATTTTTAATATGTAAGTTACTTGTAGATTTAAGCAAACCTAGTTCTGTTGTATAGCTGAAATTCTCATTGCTTTGGTTGGTTTGAGGGTGACAAAACTGATTAAATTTCAGAAATAATAAAGAGCATACTTGAGAGTTATGCTTTCTGCCTCTTCATATACTCCAGCTGACAATATCATGTGCAACATAGCTGTGGTCCAGCGGCTTTCTCTACAAGCTGCTGTGACAAGTGTTGTCATTAATAAGCACAAAATGCACTTGTAAGTTGCCTTTTTTTTTTTTTTTTGTCAGCTCTGAAGCAAAATGGTGGCAGTAGTGGAAGTGTCACTCAGCACTGTTTCTTTCAGTGCTGCAGTTATGCTGATTCTGGGGTTGTCACCTCTGCTGTTAAAACTGGGTGCTATTCTGAGATGGGCACTAATGAGGACATTTCTCTCAGTGCTAGAAAAGGCAGAGCTCCCTGTTGCTCAGTTTCTAGTAGCAGCAGGATACACTTAGAAATCCTAGCCTAATTAGTAGAAGCTTCCCTCTGCAGCCTTAAGATCTGAAAAACCTTTAGAAAATAGAGAAAAATGCATCTTGCATGTCAGAAATCAACAACATAAGAGGTGATAATCAGACAAAGTGTGAGGGCTGGTGAATGCTGGCTTGTTAAAGGGATCATCAAAAAACTGCTGTTCATGCCCCAGTTAGAACAGAAACAAAATACTGAACTGTCCCATTTTCTCTCCAATAAACTTTATCTTCTGCTGAACTAGAAGGTTGACAATCTCAGCTTTGTTTAGATGCAGTAAAGGAAAAAGTCTTTTCACTGGAAGTCAATCTATTAAGATTTTTTCATTGATAGATTTTATTTGGGCTTAACATCTGTGTTTTACCAGAGCCTCTCTCTCACTGCCTGCTGTCATTAATAGAGATGCCTGAGAGGATGTGATTTAGTTATATAAAAAGTGCACACATGGGCATACAAGAGCAGGAGGGGAGCTCATCCCACCAATAGCTGTAAAACTTGGTGAGAGCAGACACATACACATGCATAAGAACTATAAACCTTTTTTCCTAGGAAAACCACTCCAGCTTACGTAGGCACAAATAAAATAATAGCTTCATAGCGAGAACTGATGTAAATGTAGCACTTACTGTGATAATTTCTGGATCCCTCTGCTCTTACAAGACTTCCAAGTACTTTGGCAGTAGGAATTAGGGAGCTTTTTTGTTTCCTTACTGGGTAATGTGTCAGACTCTGTTTTTACATGTTAAACTTAAGGGACAACTGAGGATGAAGTCTGCACTTTGTCCTGGCACCTTTCTCAAGTGAAACAATCCCAAACTTCCCAAGCTCTATGTACCATTCAAAACTGGGTTGTTGAGCCACCTTCACAGGATGGTGACTGAATCTTAAAGTTCCTGGTGCAAGAGTGTTGTGGTAATTCTATTTCCAAACTGAAAGGTAAACCTGCACTTTCTATTTCAGAGTTTTGCATATTTACAGCTATCAAAAGCAACCATAGACAGATGAAGATGCCCAAATGGAGCAAAAACAAATCTGATTTCAGTGTAATCTGCCCCATTTTAACTGAGATGACCAAACGGTAAGATTCCAGCCTTACAGTGGACCAAAGCAGATTTCCTGTCAGTGATACATCTGTGTCATGGTTTGATGCCTTATTCTGAAGTATACTTAAAATGTAATCCAGATTTATGAACTCACAAGCATTTTGGCACACAACTGATGGGACAGCATTCACTGTATGTTTGTTTTTATTGCTACCTGCAACTCTGCTCAAAGGAAAGCAAAGACACATGCATGACAGGAGCACAGTATTTCACATATGTATTTCTGGAACTTAAATAGTTGGATAAATATTTTATCAGTTCTAGTTTTCACAACAAAAATAAACTCTGGTCAGTGTTGTGAAGTCTGAACTTCGCTTGATCTTTCTTTTAGACCCAACAGTTCAGTTCTCAGTTCTCCAGGCTTAGGAGGTATTTCAGGTATGCTCTATTAAAAACAGAGAAAGACATCAATGTTGTGGCAGAGGAAAAACTAAACTCCCAAAACAGTAAATGAGCTTACTCTGCAAGAGCATGACAGCTAAACTGTGATTTTACCACCCTCTTTTCTGAGAATATAATTCCTACATGCAAAACACCTTATGAATTATTACCTTTTTGAAACTTGACTTATTTTATAGTAGCAAAATACAATTTGGAGGAAAAAAAAAACCAAGATAAAAGGAAGAACAGACAGTTTGTTTTAAAGGATCAAAGCTTATTTTTGCCATTAAAGTGAGTTTGGTAAAGATAATTGATAAATACATCAGAATTCTAGCACAGCTGAAGTTTCCTCACATACTCTTGGTGATAGAAGAAAATGTTTCACTGCTTCTACTGCCCTGATTTAGAGATAAGGCACTGAAACTGGAGTTAAAATTTTAAAAAGGTACCAGATAACATGACATTTCAAGAACTGCACCTCTTCAAAATTCATGCTACTTAAGAGATATAGATCATTTGATCATTCTGAATAAATATGTCGATTTGCCAGTAATGAAGGCTACAGTAGAGACTACTAAAACACAGAAATTCTGATGTATTTATCAATGACTGAAGCATCATTGCTTCAATTTTGACCTGACAGCTCAAGCATGGTAATTTTTTAAACTTGTTTCCCATTTGAAAGTAGCCCAGAGAATTAAAAAACCCAAGAAGAATATGTGAGCAGAAGGATGAGAGAAAGCTTTCAAGTCAGACCTCCAGGAGGCTAAACTAAACTATTACTATTCCTAGTGGATGATCTCATTTAGAGTTTAATTCTGTGACTGCCATTTTTACATCCTCATCTGTCATTATTTCTAATGTTAACTTTTGGTCATCTTCATTTCCACTACTGGAGGAAATAAAGTCTATTTTAAATCTAGTACAGCGCCTTCTTGCCACTTTTGCACACACTTTTCAAAACCCAGCTTCCCACAGCAGAGACCCTTTCTCGACGTGGTATTATGTCCACAGAGTCACAGTCACAGCATTGTTAAGAGTTGGAAGATCATCCTCTGGAGATCATCCAGTCCTAGCCCCCTTTCAAGAAGGGTCACCTAGAGCAGATCACACACGAATGTGTTCAGGTGGGTTGGAATGTGTCTAGGGAGGGAGCCTCCATGACCTCCGTGGACAGGCTGTTCCAGTGCTCTACCATCCTCAATGGAAAGAAGTTCTTCCTCATATTAAGGTGGAACTCCTTATGGTTTAGTTTATGGCCCTTGCTCCTCATCCTGTCGCTGGTCACCACTGAAAACAGTCTGGCACCACTCTCCTGGCACCCACCTCTGAGGTATTTATAAACATTAATGAGATCCCCTCTCAATCGTCTCTCCCAAGAGACGCCGCAGACGCTGCATCATCTTCGTGACCCTTCACTGGACCCGCTCCAGCAGTTCCTAGTCTTTCTTGTACTGAGCAGCCCAGAACCGGCCACAATGAAATCCTGGCGGCCTGGCCAATGCCTCTGTAGAGGCTGATCTCTGCCCACCGCCAGGCCAGAGAGCTCCCCGAGGCACAGCCTCTCCAGCACACCCTCCATCCCGCACACACCCTACCAGCGACTGGGACCCTCCCAGCACTTACAAGGTCAGGCCTGTAGTACCTGTGCACGACCTCGGCCCCCGCGAACATGGCCAGCATGCTGGCCGCCAGCGCCCGCAGATAGGTGGGCCACGGCGCGCCGGCGGGCATGGCTGCGGGGGCGGGGCCTGTGCATAGACCGCGCCGGACGTGCGTCATCCCCGGTGCCGTCAGGAGGGGGAACGGAACAGGGAAGAGGGTGCGAAGGCCCGCCCTTACCGGGGAGTATCGCGTCCGGCGGGGTGAGTCCCGACACATCGCCCGCACCTCGGCTCGGCCGCCGGCCGCCCCCTCATGCCCCCCGCCCGGGGCGGCCGCGGCCCCGCCCTGCGCCCCCATTGGCCGGCATGGTCACGTGAGCGGGGCGCCCGGCGGGTCAGTGGGATCGTAGGGGCAGCCGGCGGTGACGACCGTGGCGACAGCGACGGGCCCGGCGGGCGCGCCCGGCATGGAGGGCCCGCAGCTGGGCAGGTACCGGCGGGCCGCCGCAGCCGCTCTCGGGTCTCGCGGTGGGGATCACCCATTGTCCTTCTCCTTCCCCGCATCCCACGGGAAGCCGGGGCCGCCCTGTGGCGGCTGCCTTCCCTGGGCACAAAGAGGGAGGAAAGGCGCTCCCGGGGCTCTGAGGCTCCGGGCCCGCGGCTGGGGGAGCGCGGCGGCCCTAGGGAGCGTGGGCGCGATCGTGTCTCTGCCCCGAAAGGGATTTGAAAATTACTTAATACCTGGTTTTGTTGCAGTGAGCATATATTTTTCTTTTACCTTTTTCTTTTTTTCCTTTGTTTTTAGCGCGAACGGAAGGGGAGGGGCGGGGAGAGGAAAAAATAATGAACTGAAGGGAGGGGAGAGGAACAAATCACTACCTTTTCATGGTGATACTAAAAGTACTTAATTAAATGTTCTGTAATATGTATACATCAATACAAAAAAATATTTCTGAACCCACGCAAGAAATCTGGCCTAAAGTATATACAAATCTGAAAATCAGCTCTTTTTTGGTTCGTTAACTGTACAAGTATTTTAAATAAAATGGAACTCTTCTAGCAGAGGGTTTAAAGTATTCCCTGTACTCAAAAAATCTCCTATAGCTTTGTTAGGCAACTTTCCTGGAATCTGACAGATGTATGTTCATATTCTCCTTGTTTCAGGATAGATATCTGGGTTAAAATTAGTGTCTTGATCACAAGACTGTGGGTTTCTTAAAAATCCAGTGTGTAGTAGGGACTGGTCCCTCCTTTTGAGAAATTTAAAATCAGAATCATTTAGGTTTGATAAGACCTCTAAAATTGTCGAATCCAGCCATTAACACAGCACTGCCAAGCCCACCACTAAACCCTGTCCATAAATTTACACATCTGCAACATATTTTAAATACCTCCAGTGTGGTGACTCTGGGCAGTTCCCTGGGCAGCCTATTCCAATAGTTGACAAGCCTTTCCTTGAAGAAATTTGTCCTAATATCCAATCTAAACCTACCCTGGCACAATATGAGGTAATTTCCCCTTGTCTTGTCACTTGTTGCTTGAGACCAACCCAGCTTCAACCTCTTTTCAACCTTCCTTATCATTGTGGAAAATGATAAGGTCACCCCTGAATTTCCTTTTCTTCAGGGTAAACACCCCCAGCTCCCTCAGCTGCTCCAGACCTTTCCCCAGATCTGTTGCCTTTCTCTGGGCATGCTCCAGCACCTTCCTGTAGTGAAAGGCCCAAAACTGAACATAGGGCTCAAGATGTGCCACAAGCAGTGCCAAGTCCAGGGGGACAATCCCTGCCCTGGTCCCGCTGGCCGCACTATTGCTAACACAGGATGCCATTGGCCTTCTTGGACAAATATCTCTATATCTAAAAATTATTTGGTGTTTTTAATTATAGCTCTGAGATGATAAAATTATTTCCTGAAAATCTACTGTTCACCAAGTCCTTGCTATGTATTTGTGAGGCAGTAGAAGCTATGGACAAGAAGGTGGCTGTGTAGATAGAAGGGAGTGACAGAATAAAGTAGAAATGGGTGTGAGGGTTGTATATGACTAATAAATGTGTGGAGAGAGAGAACTGTCTATGGAAAAATGTCTTTATGTGTGAACACTGCCATATGGAATAAGTGCAATACTTGTGTTGGGATCCAGTCTGTGATAGCAGGACAACATCTGCCACACAATTTGTTAAAGCTGTTTAATAATCTGCATAGTGGCAAATCCTGTGTGTATTCTTAATACTTTATAGCCCTGAATGATTCATCCATTCTGTATCTTATCAGATCAAGGAACTGACACCACATAAAAAAGATCTAAAATTTAGGGAACTTCTGGAAGCCCAGAGATCTTTAGCTCAACATGCGTTATAAATTGTTGGTCTGTTTGATAGACAGTTTGCTTTGGAAATATGTGCTACTGTGATTTGACAAAAAAAAAGAAAAGATAAAAGCTCTATTCTGCCCTTACGAATGTGTCCACATCATAGCAATTACAGGAGAACTGTGATGTTAATGTTGGGGTTAACTGATACCAGCTAAGCAGCCAGACTGCTTTGATGTTGTGGGTTAACAGAGTCATCAGAGCATGTAAGTGCAGTACATGCCAGCCTTGATAAAGTTTGACCTTTACATTCTGTTTGGTACATCGGTAAGTTTCTAAATTGTTGATAAATTATTTCTTTCTTTCTTCCTCTCTAAGATACTGTGCGTATCTTCAGCAAGCTCAAGCATTTTACTCATTTCCATTCCATCAGATGATGACTGCAGTGCCCAGCATGGAAATGATGACTGAGCAGCCAACTCTAGAGGGCATTCCAGAGCCAAACATTGCTCAGGAGCCTCCAAAAGGTAGCTTGACTGGGCTGTGCGAGTGTGCTGAAGTGAGAGTGAGTGATTGGGAAAAAAATATTGCTCTTAAATTGCTTCCTTGGACCTATTGGATTTCCTTTCCTTGATGGTCACTGCAGAAGTATTGATTAATTGTATTCTTTAAGAAACATGTTCTAACAGACAATTAAAAGAGAGGAAGTAAATGGATGTGAATATATGCACATTGTTCAGTCTCACATAATTGTCTTGCTCCAAGAAAAGTAGATTTTTTTTTTTCCATAGGTAAATGCATTATCTTTGCTGAAGTAGTGGGTTTTAGTATTGTGTTAGAGAAGGTTTTTTTAAGATTCTGGCTTCAAAATACCTATTTTTTAAAACTTTCTGCAAGAGAAGTACAGTATAATTTATTTGAAATATTTTTGTTTGAATGGTTGCTTAGTTTGTGTAGTAATCACAGGTAGGGAATTGGTTACTAAGAATTGTTTTGTATAGTGTGGCTTATTTAAATAAAGACTTACTGTTGGAAAGTGACACTTTCAGCTCAACATTATTAATGAACATAGAGAGAGAGAGAGCAATCTCTGGGTGGTCATGTCATGGCCAGTGCCTGTGCTGCCTGAATCTCTAAACTTTTAAGAGCCAGAAGATGAGAAAGCTTCAGGTGTGTTGCTTAAATTAATGAATTTTGAAGGTAAATTTACCTCTTTGCCTTCTCCTTGTGTCCATACATTTAGCTGAGTCTATTTGAATATCCACACTGCAACATGGGAAATGTACAAAAAGAGTATTTGTTGTGTGTTTCAGAAGTTAAAAAAGGGGGAAGGAAAAGAAAAGCCAAAGCAACTGAGCCAAAGCAACCCAAAAAGCCTGCTGCTAAAAAAGAAAAACCAGCCAAGTCCAAAGGCAAACAAGAGAAGATCACAGATACTTTTAAAGTCAAAAGAAAAGTGGACCGTTTTAATGGTGTATCTGAAGCTGAACTTCTGACCAAGACTTTGCCTGATATTTTGACCTTTGATCTGGATATTGTGATAGTGAGTAATTCAATTTCAAGATTAGGTAGAAAAGTCCTGTATTTACTTGTTATGATTTATATTCTTTCTGCCTACTCATCTATATTGCTTATATGGCAAGATCTTGCAAGATAAAGTACATAAACTTTCCTGTGTGTAGAGCTGCTTTGCATTTTATGTTACAACTTAGTCCTAATTTCTGAGGAATCTAAGGCTCATGTTTAGTACAGATTCATGAGAGCCCATAACTCAGTGCTTTATTTCCTGGAAGCTCTGCACCCTCTGAGCTGCTCTTTTGACCTTGCACATCTGAATGAGGCACTGCTGCAAAATTGTCAGGTTTTTTAAAAAATTATGGAAGGTGCCATTAATACATTTTTGTTTATTAACAGTAACTTTGTGAGAATTGAATAAGCATCCTTACTGTAACTTGATTAAATTCTTGACTAGCAAGCCATGTTGTCATTGTTAAAATGGACTGCTGTCTTTGTAGATTGGCATAAACCCTGGCCTGATGGCAGCTTACAAAGGACATCATTACCCAGGACCTGGAAACCATTTTTGTACGTTTTTGTTTTTCTTTTTTCTTTTAGCATTTGCAGAACTTTATTAGAACTTGTGGCATTTTAACTAAACTGGTTTGTTTTTTGTTTTTCTCCTGGGTTTTGGTTTGTTGGTTTTTGGGTATTTTTTCTTCAAAGAGGGATTTTTGTATGCTAAATATGAGTTCAAGACAGCAAGTTCTGTCAGAGAGGCCCAGTGAAAGGAGAAGCAATGGCAAATTGTCAAAGAAAGCTGACACATAGTATTTGCCACACTCTTTCCCCCCAAATCCATATTGATCGCTGCTTAAATGAATCACAAAATCTAAAGCTCTGTACTGAGCTTCTAGAATAAAAGACTGGTTTGCCTGATCATGATAAGGAATTCCTGTTCACTGGGGCCTTTGGAAGAGGTAAAGTAATATTGACTACTTTAAAACTTTCTGGATAGGTCAGTAGTCTTCCCAAATTAACTGATACTTTGTTAAAATAGATTCTTCCTTTAGCATTCCAGTAGTGCAGTCGTCAAGTGGAATTTTTTGGCTCTGTTTTCTTTTCCTTGGAAAAAGGTAAATGCATATCTGTCTTCCTACTTCACAGGGAAGTGTCTGTTCATGTCTGGTCTAAGTAATGAACAGCTGACCCACATGGATGACCACACCTTGCCACATAAATATGGGATTGGATTTACAAACATGGTTGAAAGGACAACACCTGGAAGCAAAGACCTCTCCAGGTAAGACAATAAAAGGAAATATCAGGCTTGTTATTGAATTAATAGTTGTGATTATAATTTTGAGTATTTTGTCTTTTAGCAAAGAGTTTCGGGAAGGAGGGAGAATTCTGATGCAGAAGCTACAAAAGTATAAACCTCG